CAAAATAAGTTACAATGAAATAATCCTCCCAGATTTATTGGCACAATTGGAACATTAGTAAACCATAAGAGCTAAATTGATGGCTGCTACACTCCAAATCCTTTTATCTTTATTCAGATATTTTTGTTTGTCTTTTAGATTTTTATTTTTGAAATGAATATATTTAAAATACCAAAGAACAAAATAAGTTACAATGAAATAATCCTCCCAGATTTATTGGCACAATTGGAACATTAGTAAACCATAAGAGCTAAATTGATGGCTGCTACACTCATGATTTAGTTCTTATTTCCCCTGGTCTGACTGGCGCCACTACCACATAAGCCTGGTTGGGGAGAGTTTATGGGGATCGAGTACGCCAGTCTGTTATCAGCTTTTGACAACAGTGCACTGTGTTTCTGTTTGAAGTGGAATTTGTGAATAGTTGCACAGCTCAACAGTATCTTTTAATTCTGTCTGCTTAACAGCCCATCATGTCAAAGAAGACCAAGAGGATGCTGAAGAAAACAGGTTTTGTTTTTTTTTTAATGAGGATTGGAAATTGCATTATCTTGTTTCTGCTAAAGATGAGTTACTTGCTTTGTGATACTACAATATCAACATTAAAGAAATTCAATGCTCATCAGCATTATAACACTCATTGAGGACCACAAATATTTTAAATTAGGCACAAGAGGTTGCATAGCAGAAATTAAAACATGAAAAGCAAAAGCACAGACAATTCTTTCAAGCAGCAATGAGACCTGGAAATAATGCCACTGAAGAAACTTATAAAGTAGCTTATATACTCGGGGAAATGAGGGAAGCCATTCAGTGATGTAGAAATTGTGAAAGAATGCATTGTCAAAGCTGTAGGATGTTTAGGCCCTGATAACATTTCAAAGTATAAACAACTGCCTCTTTCGAGGAGAACCATAACTAATCAGCTGCATGAATTAGCCTTCAACTTAACACCTTCATGCAATACTTCAACAGGAAAATATACATTATTTAATTGCTTTGAATGAATCAACTGATACTACTGACTCGGCACAGGTTTTATATTTCATTTGGGTCATAAGAGAAGATTTTCTTTGCTATAAAGAGTTACTTGCTTTGGGCACTCCTGCAAACAGAACACAGGGAATAGATATCTTCAACAACTTTCAAGAAAAATGTCATGAAGTTGGACTGAATTTGGTAAATTTAGTAAGTGTGTGTACAAATGGTATACTTTCCATGACAGGAAAGCATGAAGGGTTTATTGCACAGATAAAAAAAATATTAACAGATCCAGATGCTCTCATTTCCTTTCATTGTATCTTGCATCAGCAAAATCTCTGTGCTAAAGCTAATATTTTAAATGACACTTTGCAACAAGTTGTAAGTATTGTTAACTATGTTCCTGCAAATGTAACATGGCATCATCAGTTTCGGTGTAACATGCTAAAGTTGAACAATGAGGTATTCAGTGTGGATTTGCCCTGTCATTCTAAAGTGCATTGGCTATTGCAGGGACAGGTGTCAGCCAAAATTTTATCTCTGTGAAAACAGATAGTTAAATTTATGAAGAACAGAATCAGCAATGTGAATTCTTGAAAGAAGATTTCTATAAAATGCAACATTTCTGTGTGATATCATGTCAAATCAAAACAACTTGAATATTTCTTTGCAAGGTAAAACTAAATCTATACATGATATGTGGCAAAAAGAAGTATATCTAATTGAAGTTCCTTGAATGAAGCTTTATTTGATTACAGCTAAATTAATGCGGTCTTCCAATATGAAAAGGTTCCCCACGCCTGAGCTAGACCACAACAGAATTGAAGATTAACTTCTCAGCATTCCCCTGGGGTGGGCCAGGGAGGGGAACCGAAATCTTTGGTTTCAGGGTTAGTTGTTCAAGGCCAGTTCCTGGGCATTCTTAAGCAAGCACACAATTAGGCACTGTAAAAGAGAGTTGTTAGTTAACTTTAAGATGCAGTGACTGTTACTGTTACAGTCTCATCCAGTATCGTGACTTGAAATACAGTATATGCTAATAATTTCCAAATTTACACGTCCAGGCATGACCCTTCTCCCAATATTCAGTCAAAGGTTGAATTGTCTATGTGACAGACACTTTGTGGTATTACAGATATTCAAACTGACCATCCTCGAAGTTAGATTCCTGGGTTTCCCTCCAAGACACCGCTACTTCAGCCTCCCCATCTCAGGGAATAGCAAATTCACTCTATGGTTGCTCTGGGCCACTACTTTACTTAAAAGTTCGCTCACCACCTATAGATGGAGGTGGGCCAAAGAAGGTCCAAGAGAGGGAGGCCAGTGCGTTTGCAAGGCGTCACAGCCGAACATCCACTGTCCTCCTTTTGGTGGTTATTTTGACTGCTAATTTACCCCTATGCCCTGTAAGAGGATCCGAAGAGGAGATAATGCAAGCCTGGAAGTCATGGCCAAGCGGAGCACTGGGTTCCGGGTCTTTGCACTGGCCCTGATCCCAGGCGAATGCCCCTGGCTTCTGGGCCTCGATTTCCCCGGGCAAAGAATGGACAGTTTTGCCCTTCCTTCTTGATCCCCCGGAGCTGTGCTCACGGTAGAGAGGCGGGTCTGAGCCGGGGTTCTGGGCTTGGGCGTCTCTTTCACGGAGGAAGACCCGCCCAGGCACAAACCCGCTGTTAAGGTGTTTATGGAAAACAAACTACGTTACCCAAAAGGCACTGCTCCGTGCGACGCCGGCGGGCGCTGGGCCAATGACGGCCCAGAACAGGGGCGTTTCCTGCTAGTCGCGGAGCTGGAGGCGGAACTTCCGGGCTCTCGGTGACAGACGTCATTTGGGCGCGACGGTTCCGTCCACGCCGGCTGCGGCGAGGGACTGGTGTTTCGTGGCTGCTGCCCGGACGGCTCTTGGGAAATGAGCAGGTAGGAGGCTGAGACCGACCTCTGTGTGTTGGAACGGACCGCGAACCGCCGCGTAACGGGGGAGTGCGACAGTTAGCCAAGGTCACCGCGTCCCGGGCAGGCGGGGGCGCGGCTGGGCCTGCGGGACCCGCCCTGTTCGCCGCATCCCCGGCCCGGCTCGGTCTACAGGGTCCCAGGATGGCGGCGGCGTGGACGGACCCTGCGCAGGTGAGTGGACGGGGGTTTTGGCCTTGCTGCTGCTCTGCTGGTTCGGAGAGGCCTCTCGGGTAGGACGGCAGCCCAGAAAGCCGCAGGATTTCTCTTTGTAGTTGCGCCTGTTGACGGAAAGCGGAGCAGGCTCGTCCGTTAATGTGCAGTCGTAGTACAGGAGAGACCGAATAACAAGCCGGCAATAGCCAGGCTATACATTAAAAGTATGACTTTGTTCTGCAGTTTGTAGCAACCTGCCTAGGAAACCAACCCCCTTTTCTGCAGTGAACAGCTCTGGAAGCCGTCCTGCTCTAAGCTTCGCTTGCTAGGAGCTGGATTGCTATGTCTAAGTGACAATTCCGGAAGCCAAACGATACCTTCTGTGACAGTCAGCCCCAAATGTCCAGGATTTGATTAATAACTGACCCCTTCATTTTTGTCCCTGATTCCAACATAGGACCAACCAGGGAAAGCTATACATGCCCCCTACCCGGTCACATAGGATGCCCTGCTTCTAGTTAGCACACCTACAGCTTGGCCTTGCCAACACTGTCAGGCCTCTGATCGGTGCTGAGTAATTGTTTGGAGAATAGATAAATGAGGCTCTACTCCAGGGACTCCCATCACACGTGTAATCCAAACTCTCAGCAATATCCTGCAAGTCCCTACCCTGTCTACCCTGGCTGACCACCTCCAACCTTGTTTCCTTCCCTTTCCTCACTCCCTGCTCTTCAGACACACCAGCCTGATCATGCAAAGCTCTTTCCCACCTCCCAGCCTTCACCCTTGCAGTTCCCTCCGCCTCAGATCTGCAAGATTGCCTTTCACATCTTTTTGGCTCTGTTTAAATGTCGCTTCTTTGGAGAGGCCTTTGCTGGCAGTTCTGCCTAAAGTAGCCCCTTCTCCATTTGCCTTTGGTTTGCCTTTTTCATGTAAAGAATCTGGCAAAATTTAAAAAACTGCTGGATTGAGGATTTCTAGGATGTTGTGAGGGCAAAGAGTGTGAGTAATAACAAAAATGATACTAGTTGGCACTTACTGAGGCTTGATGTGAATTGAGGGGCGGGCAATATTCATCATCTCATTTAATCGTGATCTTCTCAGAGTTAGATCCTGTTATTTACACTGCTTTCCATGAGAAGAGTTCAAGATTCCCACATTTTTTCCCCCTGTGAGGAGCTCTTCATCGTCACCACATACTTAATTACCTGCCCAAAGTCACACAGCAGAAACTCACAATTAGTACGTGGACTACCAGAGCCTTTCTTTTTATAGATAGTGGGCAGGGAAGCCCTAGAGGTGACACCTAAAGTGAGCTTTGCAGTCCTCCTCCAGAAAGTCACAGTGGTCACTGGGGGTGAAGGGCAAATATCTAAGCAGAGAGAACTGTGTAGACAAAGGCAAGGTATGTTCGTTGTTTAGGAAGGTGCAGGAGGGCCTGTGAGGTTGCCATGGTATCCCCGCCTCCTGTGGTCTTTGGCTGGTTGTTCATCCCGCCTTTAACCCATACGACATTGTGGCCAGTCGTAAGCCTGTGTTCTCATGGCCACAGCCTGCGTTATCCTGGGCCACTTGAGTTTCCTGGTCCTGATGTACATTGGCCTTAGAGATACCTGCCAGCAGGACTCAGGGAGGAAAAAGGCTAATGGTTATGCAATCTCTGGGAATCTTTGGGGCCTGAGGAAAGGGGTGGAGAGGAGTTAGGGTAATGAGCTGGTCCAGGCCCTGCCACTCCTCAGGTGTTTGACACTGATGAGTTTAGTGATGAGTGCTTTGCCCATGTAATAGAAATATTTTCAGGAGCTACTGAAATGGATTGAATAACAAAAATATGTGGAAATGCTTCACAGTCTCATTACCGTAGATTCACTTTAGTGATGGAGGCTTCTTGGGGTTACACCATTAAACCCTGGATCAGAGGGACCTGGGTTCAAATTCCATCTCTGCTCATAAAACATGAGACTCTGGGTGAGTTTGTGGAGCTCCCTTAGCCTCAGGTCACTGTGACATGGAGGTGATCGATGACAGTGTTTACCTCAGAGGCTGTGGGGAGGACTGAAAAAAATCCCAAAGCTTATCAAGCACTGAATATTTTCTCTGTAAATCTCACAACTGTTACTGTAACATGGGAATGACTGTATTGATCTGAAAATTAAGGCTCAGAGATGAGATGAGGTCCCTAAAGTCACACAACTGGCAGGTGTCAGTTACAGGAACTTGTATTCAAATCTGGGAGTCTGACTTCAGAGCTGGGGACTCATAGTCGCTTTAACACAGGCTGCAAAGCTCTGCATGGGGCAGGCACCTAGCTGGACAGTGAGGCTCAGGGACTGTTCTTGTTACCGTTATTGCTGTCGTTACCAGTATAATTATTTCCTCATTCCTTGACATTCTGTTGCCCTTACTGTCTGCATCTCTTGGTCCCATGTCATTGCCATTGTCTTCTTTCGTTCTCTGATGGCTTCTGCATAGGAGCCGTCTCTCCCTCACACCGTGGCATTGTGTCCAGGCAATGTCTGTCATGCTCCTTCAGCTCTGTATGAAGGTAGGTCCTCAGGAGGCGCTCAGTGCTTCGGGCCTTGATCTCTTTGTACCTTTTGCAACAAAGCACATACAGCAGCCCCAGGGCTAACTCTGCTATTTGACTTTCCAGGTGTCTGTGACCTTTGATGATGTAGCTGTGACTTTCACCCAGGAGGAATGGGGGCAGCTGGACCCAGCCCAGCGAACCCTGTACCAGGAGGTGATGCTGGAAAACTGTGGGCTCCTGGTGTCTCTGGGTAAGGCCTTCCACCTCCACCATGCACGGGACCTGCCTCCTCCTTTCTACCCTCTATCTCCACACCTGGCTGGTTAAGAAGGCCTCTAGAACCTGCCTTGCCTCCTTCCCACAACTTCTCACTTTCTGGACTGACCGCTTCCTATCTGGTCTCCATGTGTCTCTTTGGGCAAGAAACAGTATTCCTTGGCTTGCGGCCAAAGGAGAAGAAAGTGTTAGAAGGCAGTGGGGTGTTTTGCGGAAGCCAAAGGTAGGATTTCCGGCTGCACCTTAATAAGGCAGTGATGGGGGAACTATTAATAGAATCCCCACAGTTGTGTCCTGGCTTCTCTCCCTGGGTCTGCTCATCTCACTGTCTACTGAGTATAGCTTTTTCTGCCGTAGTGAGGTTAGGGCAAGAGTGGCCACCCCAGGCCTTGTTTTCTGACCCCCAGATTCCTTGTCTCTGTTTCTCTGGTCTCTGTGGGGTATCCTGAGGCAGCAAGTGCTGCCACCTCTTCCCAAGCCCATACTTTCCTGGATTCTCACCCAGTGCCCAGCAGAGATGGGCCCCTGTCTGAGGCCCTTTTTTGGAGTTCCAGAGAAGAATCTGACTGAGGGAGCCTGGGTGTCTCAGGTATTCCCTCCACGGCGGAGTTAACAGGGTCAGGCATGATGGGATGTTCTCCAAGAAAGGGGCGAGTCAGGCAGACCCCCAGGAGGCGTTTGTTTTCTAAACAACACAGTCTCAACCATGAGGCTTCTTTATTTTCGTGTGCCGTCCTCATGATTTCCTTTCCTAAGTACAGGACCTCTGCTAGTGTGAAGGGAGAGAGGTTTAGAGCAGTGCTTCTCGACAGTTGGCTGTTTTGCCCCCCAGGAGACACTGGCAATGTCTGTAGTCACTTTGTGTTGTCACACCTGGGCTGCGGGTGGTCCTGGCATTGAGTGGGTAGAGTCCAGAGATGCTGCTAAACGTTCCACAGTGCACAGGACAGCC